TCGTTTGTGTTTTGAGCTTGAGGCAGGGTCCGACGCTGTTTTTATCGATATCTGCATAACTTCCTTGATTCGCTTCCAGTGTTCATTGAGTCCTTCGGCTGGCGGTTGAACTGACAGGCGATCGGAGAGCTCCACGTCGAAGGCCGATTTGCATGAATCGCTGACACTGTATCGCGGGCATCCGTCGTCGGTGGCTTTTTTGCGGTTGTTTGCCTGGCGTAAGGAGAACTTGGCTCGTAACAAGGCGTGGTCTGTACCCACAGTTGTTGACCAGTAAGAGCGGCAGTCTTGAATTGGTCTCCTCCAGCGGTAACTGATGGTGATGCGGTCGATTTGGATCCAGCGCTGTGAAGAGGTTGGTGGTTTCCATGTAAGTCGATGGCGTTTCTTGTGCGAGAAGCTCGTGCTTGACAGGAACAATCATGTCGTACCAATTAGTGAACAAAATCTTTCAAACCCAGATTATCTGTTGAACTCCAGGGGTTTTTCTCCTAACTGTGAAAGGGTCATGGAAACAATGGCAAATAACGCGCATTCCCGTCACCCACAAGCGGATTTCACTTCGTTTTGTTTGTATCAGCAATGAATGTTCCACGAAAATAAACCTCTAACACACGAAATCATTCAGTGGTTCAGTACAGTCGCAAGGCAGATTCGACCACTTAATCAGACTATAGATCTTGCAACTTCAATAAAACATAATACCGACATCAAAGGTATTTCGATCCAGTTTATACTGGTCAATTTTAAATCGTGCGCATATTCTTTTCTTTCATTGTGTTTTATCATCTAGATGCGGTTTAGGTAGATCTAATAATCACAGTCGATTCTGTGGTTCAGAAAAGGGGGCATCTGGCATACAGTCTACTACACTACACATTTTGAAGGTGCGAAAGTCTCAGTTTTCACAACCATTAACCATGCACTTTTATGCGCCGGTTTTGGTTGCTATCTTTTGGCTGTTCATTTAGATAAAAAGAAGAATGCAAATTGGAATGTTGAAAGCCAAGTGAAGCAGAAGATAGAGAATTTCTGTAGACTGGTGCTAAGAGAATAATGAGTAGATGCATGAGCGCCACGGCGACACTCAGCCATATCATTTAGTCTCTAACCACCGGTTACCATGATCTCGGAGTCCTCATCCATTGCGTACGCTCTGAATAATTTGAATAAAACGAAAGAATGTCGTCAGGGTAAGCTAGTATACGTAGAGCTCAGAAATGGATACCAACTTTTGAAAAACACCTAGCACATTCTAAATCGTTTCCTTTATTACGAAATTAAAACCAAAACCAAATATATATGGAAACTAGTTTAAATGATTTCGAAGAACGCAATAAGTTCAAAATTTAATTTAATCGATGCAGACGGTGTCACTAATACGCTGCCACTCTTTGTGGGGTAAATATCTAGCAATCAGATAATTGAGAAGTTCAAAACGTTAAGCCCCCTTCAAAACAAAAGGAATGAAGCTGCATAGTCGCAGTGTATGACACTGAAATCACGCATCGTATGGGAGGTGCATAATTGAAAGAGGTGACTGTGACCTGATCCATACCGGATCTGTTTTGCGAAAAAAGCTCGTATCAGATTCAGTAGGCATAGGAGATCTACATCTGCACCAACAGTATGTTCTTCAGATCTCAACCCAGAAGTTCAACCCTATGTGTGTGGTTCAGTCTCTCTATCAAAAGTTTTATTATTCCCAGTCATGTTATGGTAGTAAAATTCAAACATATCTGGACCCAAATCCATATGCTGTGTCACCTAATGAGGCAGCTTATTCGTGATTACACGCCGATCGGGTATACGGCACAATAGTTTCATGTCAGAATTTCAGTCCCGACTAACCCGACTCCAAAATCAACATTATGGAAATACACACTGTCTAGCATTGTTGAAACCGTTTTCCTTCCTTTGCGAGGTACTATAGACTTGCCTGTTTTGAGCCAAAAATTGAACAACACGCAATTATTAATAACCTTTGGTCATCTCCTCAAACTTGGAAAACGCTAGTAAACGATAAATGCACGGCTACCAAGTCTTGGTGAATCTTAGTCAGTGCTCACCGGTGATGCTTTTTATACTGAAATGAAAGATATTGGCGCTTTAGTAACTCATTTTTTCTTCGTTCTATTACGTTAACCTTTTGCAGGGATGGTTATACATTAGAAACAAATGACACCAGATTAGGTTCAGTGAATGATTAATAAAAATCCGCCAATGAATGCCGTAAAACAAGTTATGAAAAAAGAAACGCTGTTTCTAAGGATTTATAAACATGAAACAGAAACCCATTTTTAGAGATTGATGTATGCGTCTTCTCATTCATTGTACAATTCACATGTGCTGAAAGTGTGTTCAACACTTACCATTCTGGAAAAGTTCCTCAAGATTATCTGGATTCCGTGCCAGTTGTAGAACTAGAGCTGATGCACGCAATTTGTCCCCTATATCCTCGTAGAGAAGTTCCAGATATTCATCCAAGTCCGTCAGATGAGCCACTTCATCTATTTCTGTTGAATCAAATGCTCCAGGGTCTGCTAACTTCGTATTCACCATCGTTGTGTTGACTAAAATTTTAAAAAAATAGATCATTCTTTTAAAATGAAAGCTAGAAGCAAAGCTGCGTGTGGTACTTCTTTACATCATTTCCATTTTTGGTGAAGTTTAATGCGAGTGACCAAGAATGCAAACCTTTGGGTCAGAGTATTTGGTGTAATTTACAGAATTTGTGTCAAAGTGTGACAAGACCAAACATACCTGCTGTGGTTGTACGGAAAATTTATCCTCGGTTCATCTATTCTCCATGGATTAATTATTCCAGTGGGTTTCAATGATCATATTCTTTATTAGGTGATCAGTTGCCGAATCTGTATCGGCAACTTCCCCTTTTTCACCTCTTCTGTATATAAACGCCACTATACTTTTACTACTTGTATACTGGATCAAGTGGTATCGTGCGACTAACGCACTAAGTTCTACCTCTGTTTAATCAGTTACTTAACGCCCTCAAGTGATACTGTGCCACTCATATTGCAACGAACCCTGTTCAGGGTAAGATGGGCCAAACTCTAGCAAACCTGAATAGAAAACATTTAAAATTCTACCTTGCAAGTACAGAACATATCACCTTGTCTGAAAAAGACGCCATTTAAACTTCTGAGGCAAACACAGTGGTGCTTTCTCAACCGATTTTCAACACCTCACTACCTTATGTATACACCGCATAACAGTACTCAGATTTCACCAAATAACTTTCCTGTGAACCTTACAACCTAAAGACTAAAGCATTTATCTATTCTGGAAAGCTTCTTTGGTTTTCGTTTTCACATCCCTCGCATTTAAAAGACCATGTGTTTTCGAACTATTTTAGTCTTTAAATGCACCAGTTTAGACAATGGGCTTCTCTGGACCTGTTTCTCACTGATCCCTCGACCAACTCGGTCAACTACTTCCGACCAATGTTCAAACACAAGGCAATCAGTCGCAATGTATACAGTTTATCCACAAACACACACACAGGAGATGCGCATTAAAATTCATTTAAAGTATACAAGAGAGTATGAAGTGATCAACTGAATTACGTCTGAAGTGCAGTCTTTTGAAACTGTTTGTTTTTTAAAAGATGATGTTTCTTCTATGCGAGGTGACATACAGCAAACGATGCAACTGAATAAATCCCTTTTAGTGTGATTTATTAAATAATCCACAAAAGAGGCTGAAACCATTCACCATATGACTCGTCGCTTGCATAGCATCATACCCTGAACAGTTACTAACTTATACGTTCTCCAAAACAAAACTTTACCACAATTATGAAATGTTCTCTACATAGCTATTGAACACAGTACTGATGTCAAAATGACAGGATTAAATATGTAAAGGGATCTAGAGGTAACCCATTGATGGTCGGCTCAGTGAGACCCGTAATCAAATATCAGCAAATACTGGCTTTTGCCAAATAGAGCCAGTACATACTTGCTAAATGGAGAACCAATGCAACAGGACTCAGATGAAGGACCTAGGACACCCAATGACCTACAACTTCAAATTCACCACTCTTCGCTTCTATCTTTTCAGATTGTCTTACAGTCACGTAAAAAAGCCTGGAGCTTTAAACCCATGGTTCAAAGGAATGTTTTGCGCACAGATGGAACATTGTGTACTGGCACGGGCACCTTATTGCGGGAGGCACGTACCATGTTTATTCGAACTATAAATAAGCAAAGGGGTAAGGAGATCTTAATTTCTTCTTACCGTAAATTCGACGAGTGAGGGTAGATATGATAAACATTTAAGATTGTACGAAGTCTATTGGGACATAACGTACATGACATTTTCACAAATTATTGTGTTCAAGACCCAAGAGGTCATGTCTGCAAACTCCAACGAAACCACGCTAGGTTGTAGGTTGGGGCCAACTCCGTCCCACACAGGGTTATACCTGTGTTACAAGCCACCTGCAGAAGTGTTTAACTACACCAATATTAACACCTTTGGGGTGGCCCTGTATGCACGTTGGTCGGTAACGTTCAGGAAGATGAGTAGTTAGATTGAGAACATCGTGTACAGAATTTATTAAAGCCTGAAAATTCGGAAAGAGCTTAAACTTGGACTGAATGTACAATGTTACGACGTGCTTTTAACACTGGAAAGCTCGCCGAATTCAAGGTCTCTCACCAATGAGGCAAGGTGAAATATTTCTTTATTTCTTCTATTTTAGTATACCTAAAGAAGGCGTCAACGTCCTGGAAACTGGGATAGATTGGAAAGAGTGCATATATACATATATATATATATATATATTGGAAAGAGTGCAAAGAATAAACCATTCAAGAGTGGTGCTTAAAGACGCGGACAACAGCCGACAACACAACAAATTGGATGGTTAATTGGAAAAAGCCAAATAAGTTATGTGCAAACTAAGCTTAACTGAACTTCCTATCTGTAAAGTGAATTCCGGTGACATGCTTAAACTATTCTCTTTTTATTGGAATTCATGAAACAGTTCAAATTGAGCATAAAAAGGCATTTCTTTGTTTGCGAAAATGCTTTGTACTTTATCATCTTGGGATTTGCTCTGTTAGATAACACAAAACTTTGAGGCGAGATTTTTCCAATGAGTACAATTTATTACCGAATTCCTTAGCGCATCTAAGCAAATATCGTCTAAATCTTTGGAGCCTCTGTCTGAAAGCGCAAATGCTTCTAGCAAAAGTCATATTCGAGTACATTCCTTTTATACTTTTTGGCTTGCTCAAATGACCACTTTTAATATTCAGATTCTATAAATAGCAGAAACGAACTTGTACCAGCCGTCTTGGAAGGGGAAGTGAGACTTTTCTCCCTAAGGAACCACTTCCGCAGTGATTCCAAAATAAATAATCGACGCTGTATAGAAAACAATTGTGGAATAATTATAGTAGCCGGAAATCATCTATTCATAGGCAGAGTTATTCAGCTGTAAGGTATTACCGCATAAATCACAGACCTGTTAATATGGTCGTTCATTGAACAGGGTATACAATGTAAACAACAAGGATAGTGCAAACAGTCATATATTTATCCGAATTCTATCACTTGTTTGAAGCCTTCCTCAACAACATTGGCTTCAATCAACCACTGGGCTGGTCTCAATGATCATTATTGGAATGGGTAACGCTACCTGGACGACATAATGACGTTACATCACAGTCAAAGGCATAATTATTTCGATTTAAAATATAGAAGGATAAACTTGTGACTATTTGCCTGATGACCGTTGACAGCTTATATAAAAAAGCACTTAAGCTGAGAGAGCTCAACTAGCGCAACAAATTGAAGGCTATTGAACTAAGTCAGGTTCGGTGGCAGGACTTAAATTGCTCCCAGTGTTTCGGGAATGTTTAAGTGTTTTCTGGGTCCTCCGTTTGGATTCATACTTTATTATTGGATTTAGAGGAGATTTAGACTGTATTGTATTGAAAAGTTTAGCGGGTTTCAGTCAAATAAGCTACTATACGGGAGATTCCGTTCTACTAGAAAGGTATAAACATGAGAGGAATGAATTTGAAAAGCGGTACGTGAAAAGAACGATGGTAGTGATAGTGAATGTATGAAAGCAAGAAGTAAAGGTAAATTACGAAAAAAAGCAGTGTTTGAGTCACACGAAAACCTGTCTGGTTGTCTTGTTTTAATCAAATGAAGGCACAGAATTATGGTAACCAGCGCTGCTCTAGCTCTTGCTTAAAGCTGGCTACAGTGAAAGCTGCAACCATTGTTTGTCAGAGATTTTTCAAGTTGTTGACGACGCATTCTACAAGAAAATTCGCAAAAAATTCCTGCTTGAAAGATTTGCGTCCGCTTCATGGATTATCTCCTCAGATCACATCCCTATTCAGGGTAAAAGGTGGCATAACCGTGGCTGAGTTTTCTTCAGAGGTGTAAAGGTTTCAATCAAATGACCCTTAGGCGTCTTCTTTGCACTTTGACTAAATTGGGATCTTCAAGCCGGCAGTGATAAAATTGAAAGCGAAAATGACATTATTATTCAAATGAGTGTATGCCTGCTTCGATCAAGTAATTTAATGGCTATTAAGATCAAGCCACGATATCAAGAATGAGAAAACTGGTCAACCGGCGCTCATGCACCAAATGGAGTCAAATTCAAAGTGCTAAGTATCAGCTACATCAGCTAAATTTGTTATTAAGCTCTAAGTCATAATTGAAACGTATTTATCATAACTGCTTTTGGTTCAAAGACTCGTTTTTATTATGAATTCTATCAAATAACTAGGTGATTATTATTTCACTCCCTGGCGGAAAATGATAATTTGACTGACTATCTTATCCTGCTGCATTGTCTTTAGCTGTCGATATGTAGAAATTCTTAATTGTTAACATCAGATGGATAGTAAATGTAGTTTGTGGTATATTCATCGATTTTTATCGATATATGTTTTTATTCTCAAGTTCTATCTGGGAATAATTCCAATAAGCATGTAGAAGACACACCATGTTACAGCAGTTTACAATCGTAAAACTTCATTCACATCTCTATTGATAATTCAATACATAGAAAAATAACGAATACAACTGGTTGATTCTCCTGTCTGTAGGGAAACGATTGTTCATGAACATGGAATTGTCCAAATGCGCAAGGTAATTGCGAAACATGCTTTTTATTTGTAACTTATTTCCTTAAAAAGGTACTGCTTATTTCTAGAGGACCGAGTCCCGGTCGGCGTGATTTCGTCCCAGCAAATAACTTTCTATGCACGTTCAATGAACTTATGAACTTTTCTGGATGGAGTATCAGGCATGTGCACAACTGCTGGTAAATCTAACCTGTTTCGTTCAACATTTGGTATCACTGGTAGCGAAAGAAAGTACATTGCAACAAAGTATACGAGGCATTGAACGTGCGGTTATATACATGCATGTCTCACAGTCGAGTATGGTTAAAAGCGCTTTGAAAATATTTTCTAGAGCTCCCTCGTGATCACCGGACATTATTGTGCACATTAAGAAGTTGCACACGGATTACAACTAGAGCTAATTTGTATGTTCACATTGGACTGACTTCCCATTGCGCTTTATTTTTTAGGTTTAAGTTATATGTTCTATATAGTATTTAGGTGAAGCAGTTCAGACAGTTAGATGGGAGACTTAGCAAACGCTGTCATATGTGCCATGTCCACAGTGCTACACTATTTGTTTATTGTGCTAATAAATTAAGTCAGAAAACATGGTAAAATAAAAGGTTTTGGTCGCTTTTTAGTGGATTTCTTATGAGTAAGCGCAATCAGATGAGCAGTTGTGGCGCAAACAAGAGGCATCTGGAATTATTCGGGATTGAGAAGAACAACTATACAGACGAACATTACTTGATTAGATGACATTCGGGCTAACTACAGACTAACTGACGTTTCAGTGGTTTTTACTGAACGAAGAGGCTTCAAAAATACAGCGGACAGAATGGTCTCCCAAAACTTTTGACAAAAAACCACACAGAAAATGTAAGGCGTCTTTTTTATGTTTATAAAATTGTGCATTATCTAAATAGTTTTGTATTGTACCCGAAACTTTTGCAATATATGCATCTAATTACAGAAGAACTGTGCCCGAATTTGTGGAGAATAGTAAGTTACATATTGTTTTAGGAGGATTGATTCATTCAGTTAATTAATTAGGTGTTCCAATTGGTGCGCAACATGTGCTGGATTCCACCGAGAAATAGTAAAACTGTGCAAGGATATAGGGTTTGGAAAAGATTGGAAACGGAACAAGGCGGAAAGGAACGGGAATTACTCAAATGTAGCTCATTTTAGCCACCTATCAGCACGCCATTAGCCGATTAATGAGCTACGTACGCTCTGCAATTTTAGTGATGTATCTCATTTGCAACCCTATTGTAGCCGGCTATTAGCGCGCCATTTGCCAAAGATGAATTATCTGGGAATTCCTGTACGTCAACCAGGAAGTTGCAATTAAAAAGAAACACAGAAGACTACTATAGGATCCCAGTGGATATTTCAAGCGACGCGAAGAGATACTCAACCGTACCCTGAGTGTTACTCTGGAGCACTCCCATTTAAAACCTAAAATAACGGCTTTTTATCGTTGACAAAAGGCGTGATCAAATGAATAAAGTACGTAGGTTTCAATTTTTAATAAACAACCTTAATAAAATTCTCAAATAATGCATTGCGATGGACTTGTTGTTTTCGCCAGTATATATATATATATATTTAACACCAGCTTGCGGACAAGCATGGTATCAACACCAAAATAATAATAACGATAACAATACAGGAAGGGAGGTTGGGACACAGAACATATGAAAAAGATGGAACTGGTAACACAGAAAATAGAAACNAAACTAAACGGGATGGCAATTTTGCGTTACACCATACACTTTTTGAATTGATATTCATAGGGTGAAAAAGTCAGAAATTGGCTTTAATGAATGCGGACTTGAATGGAATAAAAATCATTGTATGAGTGAGTTGCAAAAATAACCAGATATTCCAATACATCTAGAGAAATATTCAGATCAGTTAATCCATTTAATTAATACGTTTATTCAGAATTTCTTATGAAAAGATAGATTGTAGTGTAGAATGTATTCATTTCGATTATTTGAGATCACCTAAACTCCATGGAGTCGATCAAGTGATTGGGGTAAAAATAAAGAGTGAAGTAGTTCAAGGCTCAGTGAACTTACTTTTCGATGTCGAGTTGTCTTTTCTCTTCAGAAGATAATGCAA